GCTTCCGGTCTCGAAATGTCTGAGGGTTTCGGAGCCAGAGCTGAGGTTAGTTGGTCTTGAGACTCGGGCAGCCTCGTGGGATGCCCCTTCTGGTGTGGCGACGGAGGCATTCGAGTCTCCTCCCCCGCCCAAAGCCTCGGGGTCTGACCAGTGGGCCTCATTCTATCCGGCTTCTACAGCTGCCCCGGCCTTGTCTGGTGGGGTCGATGCTTGGGGGAAGGACTCGGCCCCGGGTCCTGCGGAGGAGGACCCTAGGACTGGGGAGGGGCTGGCTTGGGGGCCTTGGGCTCCGCTGGACCCTACCTGGGTTTTTCTGCACTCTGAGCGGGGCTTACTGTTACAAGGTGTGGGGTTTTCTTTTCCCCCCTCTGCATACGAGTTGGACTTCATATCTGCCCCTCCGCTGGTTCGGTTCTGTGCTCCCTTGGGTGCTTCGGCTTCGTCTTAACGGAGGTTTTCGGCTTATCGCATCCAACCTGCTGCGGTGCGGGTGGCCCTTGCAGCAAACCTCCTGCGTGGCCCGGATTATGCTTCGGCAATGAATCCCTTGGCTTTCAGGTTTGGGATTTCGTTCCCTTTCTGGCTCCATTACGAGGTTCCGGAGTCTTCCTGGCTGGTGGACTGTCCTGTAATTGCTTTGGAGGCTTGGCACTCCCTCTACCGTTCCCGCACGCTTGAGTGGAGGGAGGCTTCTACGGTGCTTCAGGTTTTCCTGGGGGGCGACCTTGAGCACCTCAATGAGTGCTTGTTTGCTCCTGCCCTTCCCCGAGATGTTGGTGTCGTTCCGCTCCAAGTGCAGGTCCCCCTCCTTTCGGCGGCGCAGGTGGCGGAGGACTTGCGTGCTCGGAGCCTTTTGGTTGCAGCCTTGCGCTTCTTTTCCCTCCTGGAGCTGTCTTCGGACTGGCTCACAGCAGATGTGGGGGCGCTTAGGGCTGTTCCTGGATCTGGCGCCTTGACCTCAGTGGCTCGCTCGTCGGCTGCTTTGCTGAAGCCTTTCACGTCGATCTTGCGGGATGCGGTTGCTCAGTTTTATGCTTCCCGGCTCGCGCGTCGGCAAACAGTGCTTGCCTCCTTTATGGAATCCGCTTGGACCTTGGCTCTTAGGACGTCTTCTCCCTTTTGTCCTCTCTTGTTTGAGGCTTCCCCTGTTGCGCAGTATGTTCAGGCTGCTTCGGCTTCTTGCCGTCCTATGTCGGACTTGCTGGCTCTCCAGGGGGGTCCCGTGGTGGACCTTCCCGGAAGGGTCATGCCAAGGCTCAGGGTTCCTCTCGTCGTGGTAGGCCACTGGTGTCTGGTTCGGGTTCGGTTCTTCCTTCGGATCCACCTCTGTCTGGTCGGCGCGGTGTTCGCTCTGTACAAAGGGTTCTGGGTCTCGTAAGGGGCGCCGGCTCTTTCACGGTTTGCCCTGTTGACGGGGCGATAGGGGAAAGGCTTGCGCTGTTCACTCACACCTGGTTCCACGATTTGTGGGCGTTTCGGGTCGTTTCGCACGGCCTCCGATGATGTTGGGTAGCCCTCCTCCTGTGGGGGGGTTCGGGGCTGGCGGGGCAGGCTTCTTCCCCTGAGCTCTGTCAGGTCGTCCTGGAATGGGTTTGCTTGGGCGTGGTCGAAACGACTCTGTCCCTCAGATGGGTTTCCCGTCTGTTTCCAGTCTCGAAACGGGACTGTGCGGACCTGCAGTTCATTTTGGACTTGTCCCGTCTGAACCCCTGGGTTCATTGCCCCTCCTTTCAGATGACTACGCTGTCTCAGGTTCGGCTTCTGTTGGAGCCGGGCGCTTGGATGGTGTCCCTGGACCTCCGGGACGCTTATTAGCACGTCTCGATTCATCCGGGGTTCAGGGACTGGCTCGGTTTTGTTGTGGAGCTTCGTGCTTACCGCTTTCGTTGTCTCCTGTTCGGGTTGACCCTGGCACCTCGCGTGTTCACACGCCTTACATGGGTCGTGGTGACCCGTCTGCGTCTGTTAGGTGTTCGGGTGTTGGCCTACCTCGATAACTGGCTGGTTTGGGCTTCCAGCCAGTCCGCTTGTCTGCTGGCCAGGTATCTGGTTCTTTTTCAGCTCGCTGGGTTCGGGTTCTTGGTGAACTGGAGGAAGTCCCATCTGGTTCCCTCCCAGGTTCGAACCTGGCTGGGCCTTGTGTGGGACTCTCGGACTGCTTCCTTGTCTCTTCCTCTGAAGTCTCTTCTGCGGCTGCAGTCCCGCTTGTGCCTGTTTCTGGGGGGCTCCTGGGTCACCCGGCGGTTGCCCGAGGGTCTGTGCGGGAGCCTGAACTTCACGATGCTGGTCTACCCGCCGGATCGGGTTTGGCTTCGTCGGGTGTTCTGGTTCCTTCGGGGACGTCCCTTCCGCGTCTCTCGCAATCGCTGGGTTCGGACCCCAGGGGTTTGCGTCGGTTGCTGCATCGCCGGCTTCCTCTTCGGGTTTTTTGGGATTCAGTGCTTTGGCGCCTACACGAGCCCTCGCTCGATGTGTTCACAGATGCGTCGTCTCTCGGTTGGGGCTTTGTGTCCAGTGCTCATCAGGCCGGCCAGGGACAGTGGGGTCCGTCCTTTCGTCGAGCCCACAGCCCTGTGCAGGAGTTCGCAGCGGTCTGGTTTGCTCTTTGGAGGCTTCGAGTCGCCCGCAGGTCGACGATCCGGCTCCATTCGGACTTTTTTCCCGGTGGTTCATTGTCTGAACCGGGAGGGGGGGGTCGATGCAGTCCTTGGCTCTTTGGCGCTGGTAACTTCGGGTGACTCGTCTGCTGAGTTCTCAGGGTTTGGCTCTCCTGGTGGTTCACGTACAGGGAGTGTCCAACGTCTTGGCCAATGGCCTGTCTCGTTTCGTTCCCCTCACCACGGAATGGACGGTCGACGCCGACTTCTTCCGTTGGCTTTGCCAGACGTGCGGACGCCCCGAGGTGGACCTCTTCGCGTCGGCGTGGTCGCGGTGCCTTCCCTTGTATGTGACGCCCTTTCCCGACAACGAGGCCATCGGGGTCGACGTCTTTCGGCAGGACTGGTCGAGGTGGGGGTTCCTGTGCCTCATTCTCCCGGTTCAGCTGTTGCTCCAGGTCCTGACTCACTTAGAGACTTACCAGGGGAGAGTTGTCCTCTTGGCCCCTTGGTGGCCTGCCCAGCCGTGGTTTCAGGCGCTGCTTGCTCGGTGTCCGAACCCAGAGGTTTTTCCGCGGATCCGCCTCTTCCAGCAGATCGGTCCAGTCCGTCACGTGGCTGGTTCGATCTCCTCCTCGAGTCTTCACGTATGGTATTTTTGACTCGCGTTTATCATCATCTCTATGGTGGTCAGGTGGCTTCCTTATTAGTGTCCCACCTGCGGGCTTCACCTCAGTAGCAGTATGAAGTTTCCTAGCGGTCCTTCCGGTTCTTCTTGCGTCTTCGTCGTTGTGCTTCGCTTTATGTTAGGGGTGGTGGTGTCCTTTCTCTCTTGGTTGTTCCAGGACCGTCTCCTTATGCCTAATACTGTCACTTCGTATCGTGCGGCGCTGGCGGAGCTGCTGCAGCTTGCTTTTGGTTTTGATGTCATGTCTGCGCTGTTTCGCAAGCTGTCTCGGGCGTTGTTTCACCTCTGGCATGTTCATGCGCCACCTGAGCCGTCCTGGTCATTGGACAGGGTTCTCTCTCTTCTTCTCCTCGTTTTGTTGTCTCCTTCGGTTCCAGATTGTTTTTTGAAGGTTCTTTTCCTGTTGGCATCGACCTCTGGGGGTCGGGTTGGCGAGCTTCATGCTCTCCTCCGGCACAGAGGTTCCTGCTCTTTCGGTCGGGGTGATCATTTTGTTCGTCTGCAGCCTTCTTCTTTTCTGGCGAAGAATGAGACTGCTGCTTTCCGGAGGGGTCCCTGGGTTGTTGATGCTTGGTTGGTTAGGCTGAGGGTGCATCATGTTTTGTGTCCGGTTGCGGCTCTCCGCCGTTATTTGCGGGCCACTGCTTCTGTATCCGTGGACGCGCTTTGGGTTGATATGGTTTCCCTTCTTCCCTGTTCGAGGGTGTGGGTCTCCCAGGTCGTCCGCAGGATAATTAAGGCTAGCCAGCCTGCGGTCTATCCCCGTGCCCATGACGTCCGTAAGTTCACGGCTCTTGCTGCCGTCTTTGGCAATATGTCCTGGGCTGACATTCTGGCACGGGGATTTTGATGGTCGAACATGGTCCTGGCTGCTCGTTACCTTGTAAACGTTCCTGGACCCAGTCGGGCCTGTGTCGCTTTGGGTCGGCGGATGCAGCCACTTGTTTCGATTTCGCGTTGAGGAGCGAGCGGCAACCGCCTCCCGGGTAAGTCCCTATTCTCTTTCCTCTGTGGGTAGTTAGTCTGGGGAGCGTAGGAACACCCTGGCATCCCTCCCTTCCTCCGGTCGGCATTTTTTTGTGTGTTTTGACATCGAGCCTCAGAACTGGGGTGTAGGTTGCCGGCATGGTGGGTCTGGGGCTACTCCTTCCCCCTCCCGGGGAGGGGGAAGCTGCGCAGACAGCGGCGCGATGACAGGTGACGTCATACTAGTTTGCTCGTTTTTGTTTGGGGCGTTCTATCCACTCGTTCGGTCTTTGGTTGCAATTTTCACCAGAATAGGGGTTTGTTTTGGGACGCCAACCTTTCTGGGTGCCTAACCCGGTCGATGGCTGACATAGACTGCCAATCGACCAAGGAAAATCCAATCACACGGGGGTTCTATAAGCCATTGCTCCCCTTGCCTCTCTAGAGGGTGGCCAGGTTCTGGCCCGTGGTCTCCGGTAGGCCCACAAGAACTCCATACACATGACTGATGCCAAAGTCTGACATTAGCTTATCAGCCTAGTAAGCTCAGGGGAGCCTCCGGGACTCACCCAGAAAATCGCGTTTCATTACATTCAATGTTGTTGTTTTTTTGTTCACTACAAAACTAATGATATTCTCAATAAATGTATGTTGCAAAAAAAAATCCCAAACATCATTGTAAATTAGGTAGATCTTGTATGTTGGCAAATGTAATTTGTTTCACCCTAGGCATCGTGTAATTATTACAGGTATATGTGAACATAACTATCATGAAGTACGAGAGTGCCTGGCTAAGGACTTGCAAGAGAAACTGGCGAGGCGTGCAGCTCATATGCTGTTCTGCAGGTGAGTTGCAGAACTGTTCTGCAGTGTAGAGTTGCCACTACACTGCAACTCTTGCCATCTGACTTTAGGAACAGTATTTGCCTTTGTTCATTACATTCCTAGCACAGACTCAACTTGTACATTGTTTAACCCTTAAACCGCACATATTGGGGGCCGAAAGTGAAAAATATTAGAATTATGTAAATATAACTTAAAAATGTTAAACAAATCTCCAACTTATTAGCTTCAGCGTCATGAAACTTTCATCAAAGTATTTTCAGAAATTGATTTTAGCCAAATTTTTTTAAAATAAGAAAGTTTCTCTGTGGGGAGCCCCTATGGCTTCCTGGAGCTTATCGGGCTAATGTATGTTATATTAGACCAGGACATTAGCTAAGGAGTTCAGACCTATCAGGGAACAATGGTCCTTATCTGCCATCGACCAGGGTTAGGCACCCAGAAAGGTAGGCATAACAAAACAAACCTCACATGGTAAAAAATTAAAACAAAAAACCGAACAGAGAGGTAGAAATTCCCTACAATCCGAAGGAAACAGGCTAACAAACATCTTGAGGTTATCTTGAGATGATTTCGGGGCTTTAGTGTCCCCGCGGCCCGGTCCTCGACCAGGCCTCCACCCCCAGGAAGCAGCCCGTGACAGCTGACTAACACCCAGGTACCTATTTTACTGCTAGGTAACAGGGGCATTAGGTGAAAGAAACTCTGCCCATTGTTTCTCGCCGGCGCCTGGGATCGAACCCAGGACCACAGGATCACAAGCCCCGCGTGCTGTCCGCTCGGCCGACCGGCTCCTTGGCATCACATATATACATCACATCATCAACATACATCACACTTTACTGCTGCGCCGATTGTCCGCGCAGCCCTCCCCGCCCCGAGAGGGGGGAAGGGGGAGGCCCTGGATCTCGCCGCACCAGCTGCCTAGCATCAGTTCGTAAGCTAATGTCAACCAGGACAGATGCTTCTTTGGCCTCAGTTTCCTAAGCGGTGTTTGCCTTTCGTGGCGTTCACTGCCGTGTGTTGTGTTGTGTGGTGGCCAGGTGTTCATCAGTACCGGGGCTGCATGCGCTTAGGGGCTTCCTTCCCTAAGCACCCTGTGAGTACTGACCCTGCGTGACAGGGTTATCTTCCCTGGGGCGTTTGGGAACCATTCCCATAGAGGTTCTTGCTGCTCGGCATTTGCCTCTCTTGGGGCCAGCTGGGGCTTGGGGCCCTTGTTTGGTCCTGGATAGGGACTCGTATTGTGCTGGTTAGGGCATCAAAGTGTTACGCAGCCTGCCACCTACACAGAGACTGGTTCCTGTTGCCTCTGGGGACAGTGTAATTTTGCAGGGGCTTTCTTTTGTTTTTATTTTCATTTGCCTGGGGGGGGGGGGGTCTATCTAGTGTGGCTGTAGTTCCACTGGTAGTGTTTGGTGGCCCTCTGCTAGGTCCCCTTGATTGTAGACATTGCAGGGGTTTTCAGTGTTGTCCTCTACCCATTGTTAGTTTTGGGTTTTAACCGGTTAGGAACACCTTGCCCGGGCTTCCCGTAGTTATTACCCTAAGCACCCTGGAAAAACCCTGTCGGGGCTCGGTGGATCATTGACTGTGCCTTCTGGGTTCCAACCCGTCTTGTGCGGGTTCGTTGGTTGTTGTGCCTTTGTCTCCGGGTGACAGTCGCCACTTTTACCGCCGTCATGCTGCCTGTTGGGTCACTGACACCTTGACCCGGATTCATGCGAGTTGTTCTCTGCTTGTTCTCCAGTACTCTTCTGATGTTATTACTGTTCAGAGTACAGGCGACATCCACATTGCAAGCTTGGTTTAGGTTACTGCAATGCGCTAGGTTGGTTTCCTGCTCGGATGCCCCGGGGCCGCCCCGTTTTGGCTAGGTGCTGTTCGCCCTTTTCCTTCCCTGTTCCCGGCTCCTGACCGTCTGAGGATTTCGGGGTTAGGGCAGAGACTCGGGCAGTTTCGGGGGCTGCCCCATTCGGGTTGGGGACGGAAGTTTTCAAGCCTGTTCCTCCTGCCAAGGCTTCTGAGTCTTACCAGCGGCCCATTCTTGCTGCCTTTCCCTCTGGACTCTTCTTTTCTTTAAGGGCAGAAGGCATAGAGGACGGCTCTGCCCCGGGGCCTCTGTTGTGGGTTCCCGGGCAGATGGGGGATGCCTGCTAGCAGTTCTGGGGCTGTTTGCCCCTGCTTGGGTTTTCTGCTTTTGGGCGGAGTTTTTTGTCCATCTAGTCTGCTTGCTTCCCACATTTGCTGGCTTATTTTCATATTTATTGCATCAGTCACGGCCCTCCTGTTTCTGGTGGCCATTTTCTTCTGCCGGTTTCCCGGTGTGGCCACCAGGGAAGCGTTGCGGTCTGTTTACATGCACCTGGGTGTGTGAGCTAGCGTCTTGGGTAAGTTTTTCACCTCTTTCAGGGGGTTTCTTTGCTTTTCTGATGTTTTCTGCCCGTCTTCTGTTCCTCTGGGAACGCTTGGGTGTTGGTTTTTATACTGGTTTTTCTGTTTTGTCTGTTTTGAGTCTGGGCCTTAGGGTTTGGGCTCAGTGTCCCTGTGTGTCTATGCTTGCTCCCACACCTTGTCCCTCGGTTTTCGGTCTGTTTTGACTGTTTCCCTGGGGGTTCTGTCCTGGGGCTGTGCTTTGCCTTTCTGTGGTGTATTTCCACCGGCAAATGGGGTAGTTTGGACTCCCCCGGGTTTCGATTCTGGGTTCCTTTGGGTTCTTTGGTTTCGTTCCGGAGGTTTCTTCCTCTTGGGCCCCCTTTGCGGGTTCTGGCGGCTTTGTTTCCTCGTGTGTGACCCGGTTCTGCCTTCTGGGGTTCCAGGTTCTTCCTGGCTTGCAGGCTGATATTTTTGGGTCTTGGCACGTGTTGTGGTCGTGACCAAGGCCTTGGGTTTTGTTGTCGAGGTAGGCCTTTTGATGCAGTTTTGTGCTTTCTTTGTACCTTCTTCGCCTGGCCTGCGTGTTGCTCTCTGCCCACTGGTCGGCGGCTTGTATATTTCTTTTGAAAGTTTATTTTGACATTTTTCGGTGATGCTGTGGTGACAAGCTGAACAGCAATGCTGTTTGCTCATGCTGCGTGCGCCAGCTTTGGTTGCTCCATCAGTACTGTGCCTCTCACACCTGAGAATATTGCCCACAATTTTTTTTTTTAAATGGCGTCTGTTTACAAGAGCCCTGAGGAAGCTAATGTGAACCCCGTGTAGCCGCGGGTCATTTGAATCGGGCCTGGCACCTTATGGCATATATATACGCCATGCGCAGTTTAACACTTTGGTGCACCCAGCTCGCCACCCCTCAACTGTGCGATATGGGACCCAGGGTGTCACGGGAGTGCGCGTAAATTCTGAAAATTTACGTGCAATTTACGCGTGGTGGTTCGGCGATCGTCGCCCCTCTGCCCCGCTGGCCCTCAGTTTACCATTGTCTCGCGCTCAGTGACTACCCCCACATCAATTCTTGTCGCGGATTTTCAGTGTTTTGTTGGATTTTTGGTGATTTTGTCTATACAATTTGTTATTATATATCTCACCATGAGTCCCAAGAAAGCCAGTGGTAAGGATAAAGGCCAGAAAGCTCATGTGAGGATGACAATAGAGGAGAAACAAGAGATCATTCGGAAGCATGAGAACGGTACACGTGTTGTTGAACTTTGTAGGCAGTACAACAAAGCCACATCAACAATATGCACTATACTTAAGAAGAAAAATAAGATTATGGGTGCTAAAGTGGCAAAAGGAATAAGAACATTAACGGCACAAAGACCACAAATACTTGAAGAAGTGGAAAAGTTGTTATTAATTTGGATACACGACAAGGAGTTGAGGGGTGATAGTGTTTCGGAGGCCATTATTTGTGAGAAAGCCAGGGTGTTGCACGAAGACCTTCTAAAGAATACCCCTGCAACGAGTGATGCAGATAAGAAAGAGTTTAAGGCAAGCAGGGGCTGGTTTGAAAAATTTAGAAAGAGAAGTGGTATCCATAGTGTTACAAGGCATGGGGTTATGTGATGTGATTATGGAAGGGGACTCCCCTTCCAAACAGTAACTCCTCTCCTCCTCCCCCCTCCTCACCATCTTCCATACGCCTACAGCACTCGACAGCAAGGTAAGTAATAACTGGAACACAGTTTTGTAGGTTTATTTAGATGAATTAGGTAAATTAGGTATAAAAATTTAGTTTGATGTGGGGTTTTTGGGGTAGTCAGGAACGGATTAATTCATTTCCCTTTATTTCTTATGGGGAAATTAACTTCGGAATGCGAGTTTTCGGAAGGCGAGGCGTCTCCAGGAACGGATTAAACTCTTATTCTGAGGTATGCCTGTATTGTAAAATGTTGACCCAACGAGTGTAATCGACGAAGTTTCTTTATTTGGTGCCGGTCAAACGCATCCTTGTGTGACATTTTATACATATGTTCTTCTAGAACATTCTATTGCGAACATATTGGTACAAAATTTAATTACGTACATTGAAAATTAAGGTCAGGACAGTGAAAAGAATATACACTTTTCAGAAGGTGTTTCGCCCATCTGCCGTCGGGTGTGCCGTAAGAAGTAACACTTCAGCCACTTCCCACACTCTTGCGGGTGGGCCGCGATCATGATTCTACATTTATATGCATATGTCCGTGAAGGGAATTTTATTGCGGTCACAGTGATACCAAAATTAACGACGTAGCACAATTCTGGGATTGACAAACATGAAAAGATCATAAACATTTCAGTGCGGTTTGACGCTCACTGCTAACGATTGCCATAGTTTTTTATTTGGTGCGGGTCTCATGTCGGGTTTGGTGAAATTTTACATATATATTCCTCTAGAGCATTCTCTTGTGAACAAATTGATACCAAATTTAAATACATACATGGAATATTAAGGTGAGCAGACCGAAAAGATTATAAACATTTTAGTGTTGCCGCGCGGTCGCCCGAAACGAACGGCAAATTCTCCAGATAGTATTCAGTTAACTCCCGGCGCGCTATAGTGTTAAGATATGGGCACCACA